TCTGGTCACAAAGGCTCCCAGGCCTGACCCTGTCCCACCAGCCATGCTCAGGAGTGTCAGGAATCCACTCAGCCGGTCACATTTCTCAGCCTCCTTCTGCACCAGATTCATGATTGCTTCTTTGTGTTTGGGCCCGTGGATGCAGTAACTGTGTACATATTGAGAGGGGGGGGAATGACAGGAAGCAATTCAATTACAGCACAAGAGAAACAAACAAACAAACAAAAGATCTACTTGGTGCATAAGCGAGTACAGATGGGCAACAATCACTCTGCCTTTCAGGATGAAATAACTGACAAGATTTGAAGTTTGGTGTTGGGTTTTTTATGATTTTGATTCTCCTGCATTAACCTTGTAATTAATAGAATTAAGCGGCAGACTCCCAAATAAACAAAGCATTCGGGAGAGGGGAAAGCAGCTTACAAAACGTTTGAATTAAATAATTAAAGTTACCTTATTCCTTCTAACAACAAATAGCATAATTTTCTTATGAAAGTGTAAGTTATATCATGCTTCAAAAAAACCCTTATCCGAGGGGGCTGAGAGTTAAAGGGCACAGTTTGGTGTAGTGGTTGAGACTGGTGGGCTCTAATCTGGAGAACTGGGTTTGATTCCCCACTCCTCCACATGCAGCCAGCTGGGTGATCTTGGATCAGTCAGTTCTCTCAGAGCTGTTTTCTCAAGAGCAGTTCTCTCGGAGCTTTCTCAGCCCCTCCTACCGCACTGGATGTCTAAGTTGTAGGGAGGGGAATAGAAGGAGACTGTAAGCCACTCTGAGACTCCGAGTGAAGGGCAGGGTATAAATCCAACTCTTCTTCTTCTTCACAGTTGGTAATATTTTGAGGCTATTTTGGTTCTGTTGTGACGCAGTAAAGGGGACTTCAACAGTGTTCAAGATGGCCTTTCCTTACAGCTTTGTGGGAGATCTTCGTTTGCTAAATTAGCTCACGCTTTGTTTGGTTATCTCAGAAACCGATGCCGAGGTTTTGATAAACGTGAGCTTGTTTGTTTATGACTTTAGCACCATGTTCAAAAGCCTTTGCAGCTATAAGATGGAATGCTGAACTGCTGAAAAAGTAAAGCATACAAGCATCTCCAAAATACAATTCACCTGTATCCATAATAGTTCAAACCATGGCTTAGGTTCTATAAACAGAATTAAGTCGGTCTGCATTGTGTCTAAACAGATTCTTTGTTCAACTGCAAACCATCTTGAGGATCTCTGTACCTGAATAAGTGGGGTATAAGTCAGAAAGAATTCCTCTGCCACCCATGAACCAGTCATGCATACCCATTTGCCCAGTTGTTGCCTGAACCTTGCTTTTGACAGAAGTGTGATTGATGGTCATATTTCCAGCTGCCAGACCTCAAGGCCACTGATAAAGTCTGTCCAATCACTTTTGGCTCCATGTCAACAAGAACTGCACGAGCAGCTGGAACTGAAGAAGGAAAAAACAAAAGCCAAACACATATTTTGTTTTTGGTCTGTTTTAAACAGCAAGAAAATGAGGAAGATGTTTAAGGGGGGGGGAGACACATTGCCAATATGCTTTCAGCATGGTCCCTGGAGATCACAATAAAGACAGTCAAAAGTCATAGGATTTTTGCAGAGCCAACCATGTTGAACACTGACTTCAAAGTTGGCTCCTCCTGTATTCATATGCATCCAACACTAGCAACTAAATATGCACACCCACATTTTGAAAAGAAAGCACTGGTTTGTCAAATGTTGAAGAAAAGCTGGGCTTTATACGCTGTGGAAATTTAGCCCCCCCCCCCCCAAAGTGGCCTTAGAAGCTTTTGCTGCTGAGGAATCTTGTGAAGCAGTAAAGTCTACAATGGGATCTTTGAATACCAGATGTACTGTTTTAGGACAGACTTTCACACAAATGGACTATGGGCACTCATCTTGATGCATCCTTCCAAGACAACTACTTTTCAGCACAACAAGTATGTTTTTTTTAGAAACTGATCTATTGCATTTGGCCCAGACATCTTCCTGCAAGGCTGCACATCTGTCGGAAGGGCCATCACTTCTTTCTGACACTAGACATGCTGTATTTTGCATGGGGGGAAAAACACAATTCTTCCCTTCCTCTTTTCCAGATAGCACACCTATTGGTATTGTGATTGCTAGATAGAAAGCAGTTGCTACAAGGACACCTATTTGATATCGCTTGCAACATGACTGATAAGTAACACAATTCCGATACCATGCTATGACTCATCACTAGACTTTCAAAATCAAGAAAAAATATTATGTCAGCAATGATTTATCCTTTGCCATACAATACCAACTAATATTGGTATACCAACTCCTAGATCCCCGCCCATCGTAGCTGATTAAGGCCTGGGGCGATGAGGTGCGGATCCCCCTGAGGGAGATTATAAATCTGTCTCTTTCAACAGGGACTTTCCCAGAGGGACTGAAGGAGGCGGTAGTTCACCCTCTCCTTAAGAAACCCTCTTTGGACCCGACGGTCCTTAATAACTACCGCCCAGTGTCTAATCTACCATTCCTGGGTAAGGTGGTAGAGAGGGAAGTGGCAATACAGCTTCAGGTGTTCTTGGATGAGGCTAAGGTCCTGGATCCCTTCTAGTCTGGCTCTCGCCCCGCCCATGAGACAGAGACGGTGCTGGTCTCTAGAGACATCTGGATCGAGGTGGCTCCTCACTGCTGATTCTTCTCGATCTGTCAGCAGCATTCGATATGGTTGACCATCAGGTGTTAACCCACCACCTCACTGACGCCGGGATACGGGGGCTTGCCTTGCAATGGCTAGCTTCCTTCCTTCAGGGTCGGGGACAGAGGGTGGCCCCTGGGGGGGAGTTATCCCAGCAGCACCCACTAGTATGCGGTGTTCCGCTGGGAGCGATCCTCTTCCCCATGCTGTTTAATATCTATATGCGCCCCCTCACCCAGATTATCCGGAGGTATGGGCTGGGTTGTCACCAATATGCAGACAACACCCAGCTCTATCTACTGATGGACGGCTGCCCGGACACGGCCCCAGAACATCTCGAAGAGGTGCTACAGGCCATGGCTGGATAGTTACGACAGAGCCGACTGAAGTTAAATCCATCTAAGACGGAGGTCCTGTACCTGAGTCACGGGGGACTGGGAGAGGGGATCAGGCTCCCAACCTTTGACGGGGCTCCATTGGTGCCTACATCGAGTGTCAAGAGCCTGGGGGTGTTCCTGGATACCGCCCTCTCTATGGTGGCCCAGGTCACCACCACTGCCAGGTCAGACAGTTAGCCCCGTATCTTGTTCCATGGGACTTAGCTACAGTGACCCATGCAATGGTCACTTCCAGACTGGATTACTGTAACTCTCTCTACGTGGGGCTGCCCTTGACTCTGCTCTGGAAGCTGCAGCTAGTGCAGAATGCAGCAGTGCGGGTGTAGACGCCGACGCCTGTGCGGGCACATATCCACCCCGTACTGCGCGAACTGCACTGGCTGCCTATTGAATTCCGGATCCGTTTCAAGGGGCTGGTGCTTACCTTTAAAGCCCCATACGGCCAGAGGCCAGCATACCTACGAAACCGCCTCTCCCCATATGAGCCCCAGAGGGTACTGAGGTCCACAAATCCACATCTGTTAGTGGTTCCTGGCCCCAGGGACATCCCACTAGCCTCGAACAGGGCCAGGGCTTTTTCAGCCCTGGCCCCTGCCCGGTGGAATGAGCTCCCGTGCAGGGCCTGCAAGATGGAGCTCTTCCGCTGGGCAGCAGATGTCCCCCCCCCCTTTCCCTCCCTCCAGCTTTCTGACCCTAAGTTTTTTGGCCCAATTTTTCCAGGCCAATTGTCCATCAGACCTGATCTGACTAGTCAACTGACAACTTTTATAATTATACGGTATTTTATGATTCTATGTGTAAATTGTCATTTTAAAATTGTTTTAATTGTATATTTAACTGTTGTACACTGCCCTGAGCCCATTGAGGAGGGCGGTATATAAACCTGGGAGAACCGGGTTTGATTCCCCACTCCTCCACTTGCACCTGGCTGGATGACCTTGGGCAAGCTGTAGTTCTGATAAGAGCTGTCCTTGAAAAAGAGCAGTTTCTGTCAAGAGCTCTCTCAACCCCACCCACCTCACAGGGTGTCTGTTGTGGGGAGGGGAAGGGAAAGGAGTTTGTAAGCCGCTCTGAGATACCTTTGGGTAGTGAAGGGTGGGGTATAAATCCAATCTCTTCTTCTTCTAAATAAATAAATTGCCATTGGGTAGGGTTGCCAACCTCTAGCTGGTGGTTGGAGATTTGCTATTACTGATCTTCAGGCGACAGAGATCACCTGGAGAAAATGGCCACTTTGGAAGCAGGACTCTATGGCATTATACCCCATTAACGTTCCTCCCCTCTCCAAACAGCACCCTTATCAGGCTCCACCCCCACAATCTCCAGGTATTGCCCAATCTAGAGCTGGCAACCCTACCACTGGCTGACATGGGCGACTAAGGGGGACCTTCATATTCAGAGCCAGCGGACCTCTGAATACAGGTGCTAGAAAACTACAGCAGAAGATCTTTGCTTCTGTGTCCCGTTTGTTAGCCCTCCAGGGCAAGTGGTTGGCCACTGTATGAAATAGGATTATTTCCTTTTTTTTATTTAGAGGTATATCACCTGTCCAGACCTGCTCAAACAAACAAAAACAATTAAAAATTAATCAAAACAACAAAACTAGCCAGTTTGGTGTAGTGGTTAAGTGCGTGGACTTTAATCTGGGAGAACCGGGCTTGATTCCCCACTCCTCCACTTGCACCTGGCTGGATGACCTTGGGCAAGCTTTAGCTCTGGCACAGCTGTTCTTAAAAAAAGAGCAGTTTCTGTCAGAGCTCTCTAAGCCCCACCTACCTCACAGGGTGCCTGTTGTGGGGAGGGGAAGGGAAAGGAGTTTGTAAGCTGCTCTGAGACACCTTTGGGTCGTTAAGGGCGGGGTATAAATCTAATCTCTTCTCTTCTTCTTCTCTTCTAAAACAAATCGCACAATAAATCAAGTCAATAGTACAGGATGCTGGACTAGATGGGCCACCAGTCTGATCCAGCTGAGTTCTTCTCATGGATTTCATGCAGAACTCCATGCATCAAAGATGGTAATATCTCTGACCACTGAACTGCTGTCTTGTGGGGGTGTGGACAGGAAAGAAGAAACATCCCATGTTATCATACCTCCTGTTTTCTCCTCGCTGAAAAAGCGCTCTTTGGAGGCTGCCTGGTAGGCATCATTTTCCTTTTTGGAACACAGTCCATGCGTGCTGTGGAGATCTGTGGCGATCGCCTGGAACACCTCACGGCCAACCTGGTTACCACACTGCCCAAGTTGTATTGTGATGATTGACATGCTTGCCTTAATCTTGTTTTAGCTTCGTTCCTAAACAAGAAGAATTAGGTTGCTTGTGATTGGGTCTCATTGAATTCAAATAGGCTTACAAATTATTACTTCCTATTTTTTATCCTTGCCTTCCTGTCTACAAGGACCTTTCCGATTACTAACTTCTGTACAGTTTCTGTCCATGCAGTATTGACCTAATAGAATAAATAATTTAGTAAATATCATTACACATGTTATGCAACTATTTTAGCATCTTACATGTTCTAATAAAGGTAAAGGTTCCCTTGCTCGAAAGCCAGTCGAATCTGACTCTAGGGTTGCGGTGCTCATCTCCGTTTCAAAGCCGAAGAGCCAGCGCTGTCTGAAGACGTTTCCATGGTCATGTGGCCGGCATGACTAAACACCAAGGCGCACGGAACGCTGTTACCTTCCCACTGAAGTGGTACCTATTTATCTACTTGCAATTTCTTGCTTTCGAACTGCTAGGTTGGCAGGAGCTGGAATTAGAGACGGAAGCTCACTCCGTCATGCGGCACCCGGGTCCCGAACTGATGAACTACCGACCTACCACAGCCTGCAGTTCAGCGTCTTTACCACTTGAGCCACCGCAGCCCCCTCATGGATCACTGCCTTGTCGTGGCGAGGGGGCTTGCGTGGTTCGATGAGGCTGTGGGCTATGCCGTGGAGGGCCACCCAAGATGGACAGGCCACAGCAGAGAACTCTTATTGTTTTAGTTAAAACCTGCCTCAAGCAGGGTCTTTGGAGATACCTCTTAACAAATAAATAGATAATAAACAAATGATGTGTCTTTCCCTTGGTTGTTTTGGTATACAGTTAGAAGAACGGACTGCAGCATGTGAGTTCTAATCCTGTCTCCTCTGGATATTTTGTTGCTGCTGGGAGTTTTGCTGCTGGCCAAAAAGTGAGCTTTGCTCCCTGATGAGATTCTCACCTCCTCCTTCCTGTTTCTCACATGAGTGCTTTTTTTCCACTTAGCTTTCCTTTGCCAAATTCGTTGTGTGATTAACACATGGAATTCACTGCCACAGGACTTGGTAGCAGCTACAAGCATGGACAGCTTCAAGAGGGAATTAGATAAACATATGGAGCAGAGGTCCATCAGTGGCTATTAGCCACAAGGTATAGATAGGAACTCTCCGTATGGGGCAAGTGATGCTCTGTATTCTTGGCGCTTGGGCGGGGGCAACAGTGAGAGGGCTTCTAGTGACACCTGGAATTTTGGGCCACTCTGTGACAGAGCGTTGGACTGGATGGGCCATTGACCTGATCCAACATTGGCTTCTCTTATGTTCTTATGTTCTTAAACACAATCAGTCAGTTGCCTCAAAAGTCCAGTACAGCCATGCTCAACTTTGAAAGAGGCAGTTTCCCAAAGATGCGAGGACTGTTAAAAAAGGAAACTGCAGTCAGGAGAGTCAGAACTCTTCACCATACTTAAAGATTATTTAAAACCAGAGTAAATAAGAGCTCAGCTAGACGAATGTGTACCACTGACTAGGAAGGACAGAAATAATGCCAAGAAGGGCCTGGCATGGTTAACAAGTAGAATCAAGGAAGCCATAAAAGGCTAGTAGGCTTGCTTTAGAAAGCTGAAATCAAACTAAATGATGAAAAATTGAGAGAGTACAAACTGTGGCAAAATAAATGAATGGGAGTGCTAAATCAGATTTTAAAATGGAATTTGAGGAGCACATTGCTAGAAGCACTAGAACAAATCACTTCTTTGAATACATCCGAAGGAGAAAACCAGCCAACACTGGACCATTTGATAATGATGACAGAAGATTATTGTAGAGTGCTAGGGAGATTGCAGATACGCTGAGTAAATGTTTGTTTCTTTGATCACTGTGGAAGAAGCTGAGCAGACATC